ATTCAATGACAGTTATCCTCATTTTAAAACAAGCACACAGCCAATGAAGGGCCAGGTAAATGACTCAATCAACAATTAAAGAGGAAATCCATGATTTTCAAAAGTTACAGTGTGGCTACCCACAAGAGTTAAATACTGCTAAACCGTACACTGAAGCCTCTTCTCCCCCAGGGGCTCTGGTGGTCTAAGGACTTGTGACGTCAACCCGTGATGTCAACAGGTCTATTAGACATGAGGATGCTGAGGGACATAACACAGCCAGAGCGGAGGGGAAGAGAGGATCACTGCCATAGGACCAAGGATCTGGTGAGTAGATCTTCTTTATTCCATTCCCTGGACCAAAACAAGTAGCCCCAATGCAAGGCTTAGCTTTTAAAAAATCCTGGAATCCTTTTTAAAGGTGTAACTTTACTTACTGTGTTCAGAACTTGTTAAGATAAAAAGTTCAATACTGGGGTAAGCCGGCATGATGAAGGTCTGCTTATGTTATACATTTGATTTATGTAAAGTTCCTTCAGACATAAAATATTATATACACATTTAAATAACAAATGGGAATTAGGCTTTTGTGAGATTTCCCATCAAAACTACATTAGGAGGATTGCTGAATACCCTTCATCAGGGGTTGATATACATAGGAGAACATGCATAGCTACAAACATTTTCATATACTCCTCAGTCAAGCCTACTCAGTCCTGTTGTCACTCCTTCAGGGCTTGTTCACACAAGTTGTGTTACCCTGCAGTTTAACTGCTTGTAAAAACAAATACAGTGGTACCTCGGTTTACGAACTTGATTCGTTCCACGATTATGGTCGCGAACCAAATTGGTCGCGAACCAAATTAAATTTCCCCATAAGGTTCAATGTAAATAAGGTTAATCTGCTCTGACCCCTATGAACGTGGTCGCAAACTGATTTTGGTCGCAAACAGAATCACATTTTCCCATAAGGTTCAATGTAAATAAGGTTAATCCGTTCTGAACCATACATAAAAAGAAATTTTAAGCACAAAAATATGAAACAAAGTACAGTACACAATGAAGAGAGTGAACTCTAACCTTTGCACTTTCTTTATAGCCATACTGGATTGAATAATACTGTACAGTACTGTATGTGCTATAAAGCACACAAAAAAGCTTCACGGCAAGTTTGCACAGGTCTGTCTGCGACCGCGATCTCGAGCGGGGAAGATGGCTGCGGTCGTGTTCGTCACCCAAATTGGAGTTCGCGAACAGAAGCAAAATTTTGCTGAAGTTCCTGTTCGCGAACCGAATTGTTCTCGAACAGAAGCGCTCATGAACCGAGGTATTACTGTACATTCAAATGGAGCACATTCTTCACTTTTGAAATATTCCAGTCTGTGTTTTGCATAGTTCTGTAGAAAGGGGGAAAAAAGCTCTGCTTCTCAACTGCAGACAGAGCAACTCTCTCTGTATTTGTCCTCCCATCCTGCTTTACTATTAAATTACAACTATAGGCTCCTGTATGACAGTCTCAGCAAGTGCCAAATACAAGCCTCATGAATTAAAATTCAAAATCAAAACTTCCTTTTCCTCTCCTGATGGAGCCAATTCCTCCTTTATTTATCCCTCACATGCTCCCTCTCCAAAGACACTGCAGACTACAGTGGGAGGGTTTCAGCAACAGGGAAAGTGTTCTCAATCCAGGAAGCAGTGGACAAGACTACAGGTTTGTAAATCAATAGTGACAATTCTTATGGCAACACCTCATGCGTCATTTTTCATCCCACTTTATTGCAAGTAGGCACAGTAATAACTCTCCTTTGAATTCGGGAGCAGTGCAGTATTGTTGTCAGGAAACTGCATTAGATGGACTTTACTGTCAGGCTCAACAGGCATTTGTGGAACTTTGCAGGGGGGCTAAGGAAAAACTGTACTCCCCTAATAAGAAGGCTGTTATTCAGCCACAATTCTATGCTTTCTGTTCCATGCATTAGTGGCATTCAACTTGTTAATAATAATGAAGTACTCTATCACCCACCTAATAAACCTGCTGCTGGACATGACCCTGTTGACAGAAGACTGAAACTGAACGATGTAAAATTTACAGTAATCAATTTAAACAATAGCAAAAGAGTGCCAAGGGGAACAGCCACTTACTTGGGCTTGAGTGTTTTCCAAAGATTAGACAAGTGCCAGGAGTGTAAATATACAGCTGCAGTATGTGTGTTCGGGTGATATAAATATGCAATTTCATCCACATATTATTTGAAGAAAAAAAAAAAATCACTCAGGTGAGGTGAGGTGAGATCATGCCTAATCTACCCATCAACTGTTAAACATTATGGGGGGGGGGGGGGGGGGGTTTTT